ATATATAGAGATATTTATATATTACTGAGCTGGCCAAGCACATCATGGCCTGAGCGTGAGGTCATTCTGCCCTTCATTAACACAAGCAGAGAGACAGGCCGAGGAGACACAAACATGGCAGCAAGCTGCCCTGTCACCACCTGCTGTTACAATAATGCTGCAGTTTGTCCCACATCCTTAGCGATATAAAACTGAAACATCCGTCCTGCAGTGTTGTTACAATCTGAAGTTGTTTTACAACATGAGCTGATGGGACTTGTCTGCAGGGACCGTTTAAAAGCTGAACAGTTTAAAACCCACATCACTTAAAGCGAATAATCAAATTAAATAATCTCAGCAGAAAGATAAAATGTGCTGAGAATGGGATCAAAATCACAGATCTGAGCAGGAAATGCTCAAATCAGCCAAGGAGAGGTGAACTTAAGTTTTTTTTGACATGTTGTAGAGAGAAATTTATGTTTTGAGACATATTAGTCAATTTTCAATCCTTGAATGTGTTCTTTTTTATTACAGAACTACTTTTGAATTGTTCTTTCTAAACTTTGCCAAAATTGTTAAAAATTGAAAATATGAAGCCTTTAGTTTCCAAGTCGAATCCCGAGTCCCGTCCTGTGTGAGATGTTGCTGAATTTATTTGGTTTTCTCTGCTGTGTCATGGTGATGATGTTGATGTCGGCCGGTTGTTACTACATCTTGACCCTATTTGCCATGTTTCACTTTCAGTAATGATGACACAGTAAATGTGTCACAGGAATCTCTGACCTGGACAGCCCAAGCAGTCTGCTGAGTCAGCCTGCATTGATCGCTGGTAAGGTTGTAAGTGTAGCGAGATGATGAGTATACATAGTGCAGGAATATAATCCCAAGGGAATTCCATTTGTTTTCAGTTGTATTTATTCATTGCCAAACCACAACAACAGTTGCCTCAAGGCAAAGCTAGCAAAGGTGCATCGAGTGTTTGCAGACATATGTTGAAAGGTCGATAGAGCTGGACTGTGTCAGTGGGCTGGGGGTCAAAACCTTACCATTACATACTGATTAAGATCAATCCAAACACTGTATACTTTTGTGGCACTATGGAACAATGACAGTCTTCTTACCACATCAAGTACTGCCTAGATAATCTGGTCCAGCAAACTTCCTGTTGATCAGTGTACACATTTAAATAGAATTCAATCTATTAATATTACAATTTTCAAAAATACAAATTCAATTTCAGGAAGGTGAATTTTAAATTCAGTTGTTAGTGTTTAAAAAAATATTGTATTTGAGTATAAAAATTGTATAAAAGTATAAAAGTATAAAAATTGTATCTGACTTTATGTCCTCTACAAGAGTTTGTGTTGTTTTATCTTCAAATATCCAACAAAAACATGTATCGCTAATTCATAACGAAGAAAGCTTTGTAACTATCCCCACTAGTGAAGACTGTGTCATTTCCACAGCTTTCCCCCCGAGGTCTGCAGCGCTGTTGAAAAGGCTCTGGAGTAGCCCATACTGGAGGTTTCTGCATAAACGCGTAAACCTGTGACACAAAAAACCTGTGACCGAACTCAGACACACACAGACTGTTTTCCTTCCTGGTGATGAAGGAAAATGGTGGGCTGGCATGTAAAAGGGCATTTATTCTTCCAGGACCTGAAGCTCAGTAAAGCATCACTCCAACAGCCAAACCCATCTGTTGTCTGATTGGATTGTCAAATTTGTAATTGACATGACATTGACCAATCAGCTGAAAGGAAGAAAAATCAGGTCAAAATTTGTACTTCTAAGTTGAAATCCACACGCAGCCAGGAAACCTGTGTGCAGAGGTTTACACGTAGTTTTTTGCTTTGTATCTGTAACCAGATCTTAACAAAACATTTTGTAACTCGTGTAAATCTTTTTTACACACACACAAATTCTCATCTGTAGATGCACAAACAAAAAACTTTCAGATATTTTGGTTTACCATGTTACAAAACTCAGTACACAAATATGCATTTGATTTACACATACAAAATATTTATGACCACAATTTGAGCCCATAAATGGACAGCTGCTGATTGGATTGTGTGAAACTGGCAGCTGTTTCTACTGCTTATCCCATTTATAATGCTTAGGCAAAAAATACATGATTCATAATAATTTATTCTACTACCTAATAAAATTCTTTAGCAAAATTTCCACTGAACTGAAAACTTAACATTGATGAAGGGAGGATTTATTGGAGAACTGTTGTATTATCGTCTTAGCTTTAGCTGAGTGTACCTAATCAACTGTTAAATGAGTGCATTTGCAACTCCAATTTTAGAAAAGTTGGGATGCTGTTTTGATCACAAGCACCCATTACTGATTCTTTGAATCTTTTCATGATGTTACTGTATATACTGTAGATGATGAGATATTCAAAGTTGTGACAATTTTATACTGAGTAACAAATTGTTGCAGAATTTATATCTGGAGTTTTTTTGCAGATTGGGGAACCTGTGTCCTTCTTTGCTTGTGAGACTCTACCGCCACAAGATTTATTATTTTTTTATATATATACCCAATCATGTTACTCACCTGTTGCCAGATGTTTTGTTTTACTACCACATAGTTTTACAGGTTTTTGTTTCCCCTGTCTCAACTTTTGTGATACTTGTTGCTGCCATCAAATTCAAAAAGTTATCTGTTTTCTACTTTGAAGAAAATATGTAGGATTATAAGATTTGCAAATAATTGCATTCCGTTTTTATTTAACTGCGATGTGACCCGTGCAGCCCATCTTATCTGAGAACTGTTCAACCCTTCACCCTGTGAACCTCGACGTGTGACAATGTAATTTGCTTTGTGGTATAGAGTCTGTTGGGATTTCTCTTTGGCTGCAGACAAAGAGGTTTATTTTTTAAAGTATTTCTTTTTCCCACCTCCCTCCATGACTCTCTCCATCTTCACACTTTTCTCACTGTTGACTTAATTGTTATGGACTCAGTCCCTCTCACTTATAACTCTGTAGACTCACCGTTTCATAATATCCCTTGAAAAGCCCGGATTACTGCTCAAAACTTGCAATTTAAACCAGTTAAAATGTTGTTTTTTGATAGCTTTGGTCAGAGGGCATATTCAGTCTGGTATTTGATAACTTTTCCTCAGTTGTAGTTGTATGCAAACCTGTGGTGAAATAGCCCAGGGTTACAGGTTGTCTTGGACAGGTTGTCAACCTGTTGCAGGACTAACATTATTAACATTTTGTATTTGCCCCTGTACACCACCACAGGGTGCTTCAAACCAAACAATTAAGATGTGATTAAAGTTCAGAATTTTGGCTTTAATTGAGTGGGTTTCCAAAAGTACTGCATTAACTGTTGAGGAATTATTGCCAGTTTTCTACACACTCCCCCAAGTGCTCAAACGTAATTGGACAAACTAACAAGCTAACATTATTTCATTATTTTAAATTTAGGTATTTTTACCTATAGGTTAGTCAGAATAAAATCATTAACCTATGATATATAGGTTTTAGTGTCAGAAAAAGATTTAAGGATAATGATGATGTAAATCAATATTTCCTCACCACAAATTGCCTAAAAATGAAAATACCAGTACAAGTAGTTTTATTTAAGGTCATCTAAGTTACTCACATACACTGTGTATAGCTGTGTTGTAAAAAGTTTTTTATTTTACATGTATTCCTTTTTTTTTTTTAAACTTTCCCATTGTCTTCTTTTCTTTTGTTCACTTTGTTCTGTCCTTCCTTCAGTCTGTATCTCCCACCTCCTTCAGGGCTTCATTGTGGAGGTAACAGATGCTTTTTCTCAGGCTATTTAACTTTCTATTCCCATCCTCTGACATGTGATGGCTAAAGACTGTAATAGCTGTATGTACACTCACGCTAGCAGTCAGAAATGACATTACCATGATGCATCAGTGGGGGGATGGTAGCTGCACAGGTTTACAAGGTTTATTTGACGGCTTGCTCCCATGCTCTGTCGTCTTTGTCTTGCATCTCAAATAACATTTTGCTCTGACTCAGTCTGTTATGCCCGGAGGCTGCAGGGTAAAGGGACAACATGCAGCCATAATTGCAGATGGGGAAAACTGAACCATTGTTTACTGGATGTTAATTGAATCCTGCCACAGACAGCAGGACCGTACATTTCCCTTTCTGCTGCAGGAGCATTCAAGACGTTTGTACTTCTCTGCAAAACACAAGTTCACTTTTCTTAGTTTCCTATTCTGCATTTTTACCAGCGGTGGCTTTATGTGACAGTGAATCCAACGAGTAATCCAAAGGTAATGCTACAAGTGGTGTAAGGCATTACCTTCTTTAAATAAGTAGCATGATACATTATAATGAATTATGTGTAATACATTACTTTCCTTGAATAATCACCCTATAGCTCATTGTCACTGACAAAGTATGAGAAGGAGAAGAAAAAGAGTTATGCTGTGTGTATTAATTTTAGTCCCACTTGTGATGAATGAAGTGTAGTGGTGCCAAAAGAAAATCACTTTTACAAACAGCAGATGGAGATATTCACAAAATAAAACAGGCCGATAAAATCCTGGATGCTCATTGTTTTCTGCTCTAAACGAGCAGGTAGTGCTTGATTTAGATCTGCCTGAAATCAGTGCTTGAAACATTTAGTAAGTGCTTTAATACTAAATATAAATCCTTTAGAGGTCTGAGTGAAGTGTATAAAACTATGTGGTATAAGAGTCAAACGCCATGTTTCCATTTGTTAGGAACAGTACTATGACACAAAACAATAGCTTTAGATCTGTTTATCTCTTATAAGTATTAATGTAGATGCCTATGCTTGTTATATTTTGGTCATTTATAGCGACCTATATTCAAATTGTCATTGGACTGAGCATAGGAGATACAAATAACTGGGTCAACAAGAGATTCTGAGATGTACTATGGCTTGAGGATTATATATATATATATATTTATTTTTTTTTTAAATATATATGACTCATCTATGCGCTATCCTCTTCTTGTCCCTCTCACCCTAATCTACCCTTTCACTCAGGTTGACCCATGACATCAGCCTTGATGAATTTGAGGACGACGACCTCTCCGAAATCACAGAGATCACAGATGAGTGTGGGATGAGCCTCAATTGCAATGGCCCAGATATAAAGGTAGGATGGCCCCATGAAGAGCTGCTTCTTGGCAGATGTCTTGTCATAGCTGCAGATGTAGTGTTCATCTTCAAGTTATTCTTTATCAGCTGCTGGTGAAAAAAATAATCAGCAGCTCTGAATGAGAGCTGCAGTATACTAGAGGATCCGCTGAGTTATGTAAAGCTGGGTTGGAGGTTCAAATTGTTTGTGTATGCTATTTGTCATTTATAGAAAGCATTCGTGAGTCCTCCTGCAAAGATTATGACATTATTTTTGTGGTGGGACTTTGGGAACTTTCTGAGTGTCTTGGGAAGCTTTTAAGTTACATCAGATGGTCGTCCACTTGAAAAGGCCGCTGACAAACAAGGTCAAAATGATCGTACACCAAAGCCTTTTAACTTTATCTAACAAAGTTTTAAAAAAAAAATTATATCGTATTGTACGTTCCACTCATGCATAACCTCCAGTGTTATTCGTCAAACTCATCATGCGATCCTTCAAAAATTGGGCTTGCCTCCTTTCGGTGACACTCTGTCAAAGTTTGAGTACAGCTAAGGGTCAGTTTCTCCTCTCTGTAGTGTTTTGTAATGAACAGCTGCTGCATTCAGCTTCCTGCCAGCAGAGAACAGGAGCCCGAGGCAGACAGGCCTGACAGACGGTGTCGGAGGCGCTCGCTGAAAGAACTTTGAATGTGATCGCATGCGATTGCCCCGATCCATCCTGGGCATCTAAATAATTCACTCTGAGCTTTTTACTGTTTGTTGAAATCCACCAAGAGTTTTTTTTTGGGAGTTTTTATTTTGTTTTGTTTTTAAGAATAGAAATGAGGGGGTCACTAACAGAACTGAGTAAGGAATATATACATGTAACTATAAGAGAAATAGTAGTGGAGTGGTGCTGAAGGAGAAAATAAATAGAGTTAAATTTGTTATTCTGTCAGATCATCATCTTCTATTTAACTCTACTGCTGTAACCAAGGCAACTAGAGGGCGAGAGGCTTTTCACAGGGCATTTGTGTGAGTAAATAAGATTCTATCTTTCTTTTCCTTTTTCATTATTTCTGTGAGTTATATTTTATCATTTTAGTGAGGCAGTGACTTGACTGATGGGACAAAAATGACTCTAATAATGCAGAGTGGTGGGAATATTTTGGGGTTTTAAAAGCCAGTACTCTTTCACACAGTACTCTTTTTTTCTTGTCTTGCTATCCTGGGAGCTAATTATAGCTCACATTGCTGAATGTGAGCACTTTTTGCTGGAAGTGTCTATGTGTGTGAAGACAGATGACTCATCTCCTTGAAGAGCCTCGCAGAATCCAAAATGGCCCCATGGATGGCAAAAAAGACAAATCTCACAGCGCAGCCAACAACAAATCTCACGTGTTGTCACTCTCAGGAAGCGCAAACAAACTGTTTTGCTGCTGGAAGAGACAGCTCACTGGTCCTAGTAATGTCACTCCCCTCCATTTGGAAATCTCGTGTCCTTTGGTCTAATTTACCATATACCTGCAGTTCATTGCAGTTGGCGGGATTTTGCTGTGCTACAGCAATTCAGTTGGGTTGACGTCTGGACTTGGACTGGGCCATACGTTTTCAGTCTTTCTATTGTAGATTTGCTTCTGTTGTTGTGATCACTGTCCGGTTGCATGTGCCAGTGTTGGCCAAGCCTTAGCAAAGTACAGTCATTCATTTCTCTGCCATGGTGTTATAATTGATATGGGGTGATTAGGGTTTGTTTATTTTTCTCCAAATGTTATATTGTCCATTATGGCCAAGCATCTTCACTTTTGGACATCTAAGCATGTTTGTTTTAGAGCAAAGCATTTGGCATACATACATCATTTTACATATCTAGTCTAAGAAGATTAACTTTCTTTTGGAGCAAGGAACTGGTCGAAACTTGCAATTTAAAGTTAAGGCTGTTAAGGTTCTATAAGAATCAGGAGATTGTGATCCGCTCGCACTGCTTCTTGTTTATCTCCTCAGTATGTCAACCAGTGATTAGGGGGCAAAATAATTGCACTGTTGTTTTATTTAAGAAAAAAAGAAAGAAGGACAGAAATGCAATCCCCTTATTGTGCAATTTTCTTCTAATGACAGTACAGATCCTGTAGGAGACCATTTAGGCTAAAAATTTAGATGTTACTCAAAAGTTAAGGTATAGTTAGTGTGTAGATCGCATATAGTATATTGTTCTTGTTCTAAGATCATTTTAGCAGCTATATGTTGAAGGAGAAAAATTGCAAAATGTCCAATTTAACAATTTCTTGGCGATCTTATGGATAGATAACAGCTACAACAGTCACACGCTTGGAATTGAGTCCAGCGCTTAGTGAATTGTGTATTTAACAATGCTGGTTTCCCGAGCTGTACAGTACATAACCGGACAGAGTCGTATAATCTTTTGTGGTAGTCAGTAACAAGATGTGTTGATTTTCTGAGTGTTTTCTATATCTTGCAATGACTCACCAGTGAGGATGCAGTTTGCTTTTTAGATGGTGTTGAACCTTACACTGAAGGCACCTAGCAGAATAAAGGAAATTGTTGTTTTTGTCACCAGCATGAAATCGTGACAGACACCAGACAAAGGGAGGTTGTAGTAATAAAAAGAAAGATGTCACAGTGTTTATTTTTTAACCACTGCTATTTTCATTGAGGTTTTTAAATCACTACACCCACCCCACAGTTGTACACAGCTTGATTCTTTCAGTTCATGTTTTTTGTTCTATATTTGTCTTGTGCCCAACTTCAATCCCATCACTTAAGACTAAAGGAAGCTGTTTTTAGGAAACAAGCTCTGATGACAAATAACAAATGTAGCCACTGGCTAACAAACATTTTTCGTTAAGAGTTGGCAGAGAACAAGTTACACATAACAGAAGAGATTTACCAAGTGGCGAAGACGTCATTTATTGAAGTAGTTGATTGCTTAGTTTTCAACTAATTCTCCCATTTATAAGTTAGATTTAACAAAAAACGTATTTATGATTAAGTTTAGAGGTTTTAATAATTTTATAAATTATTTTGGTAATTGATCATAGAATCTTCTAATAGACAAAAGGTACAACAATTAAAACAATACCCAACAATCTACATAGTTTCAGTAATATAGAAGAGGAGCACTTTGGGCGTGGTATTTAGCTGTGCTAAAATGGCTAATGTGGCTATCAGATAATTACTACAAGTTAACATGTGCACCAGCCAGGGTAGCATTTATAATACTGGATTAATACTTCATTGTTCTTAAAGTAGATGCTTTCCTCTTTAAATTCCTTTAGCTGTAAGTGATGGGAGGGGCTCTGTGCTTGTTGTGCCAGTTGGAGGAGGTAAAGATGGCAATTTTAAAAAAAAACCATTTTTGTTGCAAACGATTAGTTTAGTATTTAAACATTAGTTTTATTATCAGTTAATATCTGAGGTTTTTTGACAACCATAGTAGACACAAATTCAACAAATGGCATATCATCTTCCTCAGTATGCTGGAAGTGTAAATGTTCAGCTTTTTTTAAATGACATTAACCATAAGAACCTTATTAGCCACTGATTTGGTCTTTGTGTCCTTCTTTTCCACGTCCTTCTAATTTTGTTCAGTTTGTCATGTGAACTATGATGTGCTTGAAAACATTTCTTGTAGAATGTTTAACCATGGAAAACAGAAGCAAGGATCAAAGACTGAATCAGCTTGATGAAACAGACTGACATTCTTTATGTTTCAGCTGTAATCACAGACCTTAGGGGCACTGCCTTGTCTTTGCTTCTCATTTTAAAGTGCACAGAGTTTTAGAGGCCCAGTCTGTTTTAAAAATTTATGAGGAGGCAGGGCAGCTTTAGAATATTTGGTAGGGAGCCCTCACACACACACACACACACAGAGCTGAATTCATCAGTGATCTCATCATCCGATGGGAGACTGAAAATGTATCTGGTCTCATCAATAATGAACGGTCACATGGAAGGAACATCACACACACCAGACATGTGTGGTGCCTGCCTGAGTAGGGGGCCACAGAGGTGTGCACTGTGGTATTTGCTCGGTGGGTGGATGGACAGTGGGCTAACAACATTATAAGGACAGAAGTTTTCCACCTGACCTTTTAATCTTTAAGTTCAGGTGTTTTGAGTCCCATTGCCACAGGCATATACCATCAACCACATAGCCATGTCTCCTCTAGGGCTTGTTCAGTCCTGTAGCTTGGCTGATTAAAAATAGGCCCAAATTGGCCACCAGAGGCAGAAGTAAGCACAGATTGAAAGTAGTGTTAATAGTGGTAGGAACAAGATATTTTGTACAGTACTTCAAATAATTGATGGGACGGGATCCACCCATTCTCATCTGCTTATTCTTATCAGGGTCGCGGGGGGGTATCCCTGGTACCACAGGGCAAGATGCAAGGTTCACCCTGGACAGGTCCCCAGTCTGTCGCAGGGCTAACACAGGGAGACAGATGGGTGTGTTTTTTTTCCTTCTGTATCAGAATCTCTCTTTGATTTATATCTCTTTTTATTAGACTTGGGTAGAAAATATATATATTTTTCCATAATTTCCTGGCATTTTATTGGGGTATACAGTATATGATAATAAATATAAACTTAATTTAAAAGGACATAAAAGCTGAGCTAACTGATATTAATCATTGTAGCTAACCACGTGCATTTCACCCATAAAGTCTCTGCCATCTGGAAAACAACACTCCTGCGCCTGAGGAGATGTCATGATCAACAAGATTGTAGGTATATTTTTGAAGAAATCCAAATTACCACCAAATAGGCCTGAATTGTTAGACTATTTAGGTGCTTTTATCCCAAAATGTTCTTCTCAAACAAAACTTCTGCTTCTTTTGCTCTTATGACAATGTAAATAAATAGATTCTTTGATTCATTTTTGTGGTGAACACACAAACATGAAACAAAAGTCACTTGTTATTCCACAGTTAAGAAGCTTCTGTTGAAGAAGACAGAGAAAATGGGCTTTTATCTAAATTAGTGTGCACATGGCTATTGTGAAGGGTTCTTGAAGGG